TCTCATTTGCGCTTCTGTTGATGGTCAAGTTGAAGCGGAAATCCAGCCCCACTTCATCGCGACTTTTCTGTCTTATGTGAGTATAGTAGTCCTCTTCACCATTGTAATATCCAAGATAGGAGTCAAAGCCTCTCTCTGTGGGTGTATACTTCTTGTTACAGAATCCAAGATGCCATTTTCCAACCATGTGAGCATCATAACCAAGTTGTTTCAGTTTTTGTGGTATTGTTGTTAGATTGGCCGGCAGGTGTTTTGCTTCGTTGGCCAATATAACGCCATCTTGTAGTCCGGTGTGATAGGGGAAATATCCCGACATGAAGCAGTTTCTGGAGGGCGAACACAAAGGCTGGACGTAAGAAGAGTTGAGAATGACTCCCGCTTTGGCCAGTCTGTCCAGGTTAGGGGTGATCATTTGAGGGTTCCTAAATCCAACATCGTTCCAGCCGAGGTCATCAGCGACTATAAATACAATGTGAGGTTTCTCTGCACATTCACAGATAACAAAAGTCAGAAGAATAAAGACATGTCTTTGGAGATTCATTTTGCTTCTGCTCAGTGTGATACATTGTGTTTCTATTTAAAGGTTGCCAATAGATAACGTGATTTTCGTGACTTGCCTAGAGCATGAATTCTTTCTGTGTGATTATCAGCTGGATAGTTCCCTTAGCCCAGAATTCATGTAGATATTGCATGACCTTTTTCACGAGACCTGCAAGTAAAACGATAACCCATATAATATATGAAATTCTTCAGTCTGAGATGTTTTGAGAAAATCGGAAGAACTGGACAATGTTACATCTGCTGAGCATCATTGTAGTTCATATGTTGCTTAACATTCAGTGCTCGTATGTGTAATTGTGCTCTGCGTTCACTGGACTCAAATAACAATACAATTACCCTTCCCCTTAAAATCTTATCATAGTGTTAATTGTGCATATGAACGGGGCATACAGAATAAAATCAGCAGACACCTGCCAGCCATGAACCGTGACCAGGGAACCTCTCTGCCTTGTGCTTGGGACTCATTGCTTTGGCTTCCATTTGCCCATTGCTATGTCCATTCTTTCACCTATCAGTGCTATTTACCCCCGGCCTCCTGTTTGCCCAGTGTCCATTGCCTATTACTTGTCTATGATAACTTACTATCAGCGCTAATCACTGTAATGTGTTGGCTTCCATTGTCTATTGCTAATCACCTCTCAGCGCTATCTGTTGGCTTCCCTTGTTAGTTTCTACCCTTTGTTTTTTTCCACCTCTTGTTATCTTATTAATTTTGTTGACCTTACATGTACATATATATGCCCTCTGCCTCATGGCATTTATTCACCTGATGAAAGAGTAAGCATATACTCCGAAACGTTGTGTTCCTCATAATAAAGAAGTGAACATCCATATATTCTCTTCCTTACACAATAGCAGAAAGAAATATATGTGCTGGAATACATTAAAACTTCCTCTTGAACTTATTTAAACTATTAACATAGTGTTAATTGTGCAAATGAACGGGGCCTACAGAATAGCTCTATACCTGGTAGTTGTTTATGTTATGGTTTATGTATTTGACATGTGGAGGCGTGTGGGGCAGGACACGCTCACCTTTTCGCGAGTACCCGGTATCATCACTCATTGATAGTGAATCATGAACACATGCTCATGATATAGTCGAAATCGTATAATAGAAAGGGTTTTGTCGCTTTTATTTACACTTTTACAGCTGCACATCTTTTTCTTGAGCGTCATTGTATTCTACTACAAGGTATTGATGTTTTGTTAAGCTTTGACATGTATTGATTTGGAAAAACAAATGCGTTAGGTTAGTTGTCCTGTGTTTTGGTACGTATCTAGCACACGACTGAAAAAACCCGGGTTATTAATTATTCATTGATCATTTGTAATCATTTTTTGATTTCACACTTACGTTCTGTAGATATAGATTCATGGGTTAACCTCTGATTTCCAATTTGATTTGTCGTTGATTTGTCTGATGCAGATTATACAGACAGGCACGATGAAGCGCTTATACCGATGACTGCGGCTTTATACAACATTCGGGGCACGGGTGGCCCTGTCGTCTGAGGCGCCGCGATTCGCTGTGCAGAGTGGCGCTGTGATTGTGGGTTCGAATCCCGGTTCGCCCCGATTATGTTTCTTTGTTTGTCAGCACTATACCCGTATAAACGTCTGATACCTACATCACTTCGGGCTTTCCTCAAAAATCAAGCTGACCCGCCGTGATATAACTGGAATACTGTAAAAGGCGGCGTTAAACCAAGCTTACTCACTTATACAACATTCGTTGTTGTATGGTCCGTCACTTGATTGTCTGGTTTGTTTCCAGGCCGCAATTGCATGGAAGAATACTGATGTGTGGCATCAGGCGACAATTGTACATTTAATATTTCATGCAAATTGTGTGAGTGGCGGACATGCTTACTCATACTAGTGTCATCACTTATGTTCACTGATCATTCAAATATTTTGACCGCTATTTTACCTTTTATGACCAAAGGAATCAGTTTCGATGGCTAACTGGGGCTATTCTCTGGAGTTTTAAATTTGCATGTGTTTGTAACGGGTGTCACCGGTGGGACAGGATATACTAATCTGTTCGCGTACACGTGGTGTCAACACTATTTGATAGTGATTCATAAATATCCTCATGGTTTGGTCGGAATCGTACAATGGATTTCTTATGTTATGGAAGGGTTTTGTAGCTTTTATTATATGTACTGTTGACGATGTCGACTGAAGGATAAAGTAGGGCAGTTATGGATTAAACAATCATATATCGATATATCGATGAAAGAATATAATGGCATACATATTCATACATCCAACAATGATACCATGTGTACAGAAATTTAATGATAACGTTGAATTATTGCCTTGTCGGTGACTTGTAAAATATGTCAGTCACACTTTCTCATAAGTCTTAGCCATGTCTTTACAACGACAATCGTATGTTGTCAAAATCGAGAATATTCAAATGAAAGTTGGTTCAGAAAATATTTGTGAGGCAATTGATCACGATGAAGGTCAGATACACATCAGTTTAAATACATGTCTTCCTGTATCATTATTTTGCGATGTATTCTTGTCATACAATGTCATTATATCTATTTTGATTCTAAGTATGTTTGACACTAATTACTGTAGACCTTTCTGTTGCCAACCGTGGCATGACTTAAAACTTTCAAATTTGATACGTTTCCGACAGATAAAAGAGATTTTTTTCACATCTTCATTAAATGGCATCTTCTGACTTGTAGCATTTGGTTCACATTGCAAATAATAGAATAAGTATCTTTCAATGGTCGTGTTGTTTAAATATGAGTTTTGAAAAGAAACAAAATTATCAACAGTAACTTTTATCCACAAAATCACAGATCCTCGGTGAGCTGTATGTGTTACACAATAAAATGAAATGAAATTAAATGAAGCTTGCAGTGCCCCCCTTCTTGCAAATGGGGGCCAGAAGAAGTTAACATCTACGCTAAACAAGGTTAATTGATTACATTTTTACTTTTACAAATTACTTTTGAGTGAAAAAGTATGAAGAACATGTGTTGTTGCGAAGTAACGAACTTTCTGATATTTTAAGGGTACTTCAAAGCGACAACTTCTACACGTGCAGTGTTAATGTTGTAAAGTGAGTGAGTGAGTATGGTTTTACGTCGCTTTTAGCAATATTCCATCAATATCACGGAGGGGGACACCAGAAACGGGCTTCACACATTGTACCCGTGTCGGGAATCGAACCCGGGCCTTCGGCGTGACGAGCGAACGCTTTAACCACCAGGCTACCCGACCGCCCCTAATGTTGTAAAGGACACAAATCCACAAATACTATTTCGTATATGTTGTAAAGGTTTTGACCTCACTATGGAGAAGAACAGCTGCCACTGGTACCTTTTAGTTGTCACTGTGTCAATATTACTTCACTGCTGCCAGTATGATCGGTATATCTTCACACAGTACATCTAAATCACAGGGGCACTTATTGCTCTTTCTGATACAAGGGGGTTTCAGAGTGAATGAGTTGGGTTTACAACCGCCCCTAAATAATATATGTCAGCTTGATGGGAGTGTAAAAGTTGTGCAGGTCATTGACGTTTATCGCCTTTGTGAAACACACGGGCATAGGAGTGGTGTTGATATACTACCAATGGTAATTCTCAGGATGAATCTGAGGTACAATCCCCGACGGTTGGATGGCGGCTAGGCCAGGGGACGGAAACTTTGTATTACTTAGTCAAACGTGATCCTGTGAAGACACAATTAGAAAGTGGGCATTTGATCTCAAATTGAAGAGTCCCTGAATTCGACTAACAAAATGTCAAATCTGTTAAATTACGTCTGCACAGCGAATTGTGGCGCATTAGGCGACCAGACGACCCGTCTCCAATGATGTTTTACCACTTAATTGATTGTTTGTTTAACGCCATACTCAGCAGTATTCCAGCTATATGATGGCCGTGTGTAAATACGCGAGTCTGATCACCCGATCCGGTTAGTCGCCTCTTACACCCAACATGGGTTGCTGAAGACACAGGGTGCACTTACTCAAGGAAACCAGGTAGTATCTTGACTCAATAACACATTCCATACATTCAGCTATGATCCTTCATGAATCTTTCAAGGAATCACCAACATCTTCGAATATAAACACTGAAGTAGCATGCAAACTTGCAATCTATTACAATATCTTGAACAGAAAATCAAACGCAAAATATGTATCTTGGGTGATTGATGTGTATCCTAGCGTACTTTGTATCAACAACACCCACGACTCCATACGCCGCCATAGTATTTCGGGGGGAAATGGAAGAGAGTTCTGTTTCAATTTGGGAATCGACATGCATAACGTTGTTTTGACCGGCAGTTTACATCTATACATTTACTACTTCATTTAACTTTCTTTATTTGAAAATAAATGAAGTTGGAATGACAGAAGTTCTTGTTTGAACATTACGTATTCACAGTATATACGTATTTGAGACACATGGAATGTCTGCTTAAAAGAGTCATTAACACCAACCAGGGCTCCATACACCGCCGTAGAATGAGGGGTTTGCCCCAGGAACAGGAGTATTACTCTGTGCCGGAACACGGGACTTCTTCCAGTTCTCCAGCCTCTTCTTCATCATGTCCACTAGCTCAGGGTACTTGGCTGAGAGGTCGAAGTGTTCAGTTGGATCTGCAGTAATGTTATACAGCATGAAGGGAGGGAAGGTTTGGTTATCAGCTTGAAAAACACGTTTATCAATTCCAAGATGTGGCAATGGAGCCCAACCGTTGTGATCTCCCGGACTCCCTTGCATGAGTTTGAGATCTCCGTACCTTATGGCAGCTGCTTCTTGCCTGTCATAGATATTGTAGACGAACTCATTCCGTTTGGAGGGTTTACCATTGATGAGCATGTCGTACTGACTGATCCCGTCCATGTTGGGATCTGTGTTCTCTCCACCAGCCAGCTCCACCAAAGTCGGGTACCAGTCTACAGCATGCATCATTCCAGTGTTGAGGTAGCCCGTCTTCTTCAGAAGTGTTTTACTGTAGATGAACCCAGTTCCCTTCGTTCCCCCTTCCCATAGAGTTTTTTTGGCTCCTCGTAAAGGCAAGTTATTAGCAGCATCAAATGTAGGACCACCATTGTCGGTTGTAAAGACTAACAACAGATTGTCCATGAGACCTTTGTCTTCTAAAGCCGTCGTAATATTTCCCACAGCTTCATCCAATGCACTCACCATTCCACAATATACCCTTCTGTTTTCGGTTTCTATGTTCTTGTACATGTTTTCATATTTAGGTGGAACTTCAAATGGTACATGAACAGATTGAAATGGAAGATACAGATAGAGTGGTTTATTATTGTCGTGGTTTTCAATGATTTCAACAGCCCTGTTAGCATACACATACGCAGAGTAGGTCCCACTGGCGTCTCTATATGCAGTCTTGTTGAAGCGAAAATCCAGCCCCACGTCACCTTGGCGATCCTCTGACATGTGAGTAAAATACTCTTCCATTCCAGAGTAATATCCAAGATAGGTGTCAAAGCCTCTCTCTGTGGGTGTATATTTCCAGTCACAGAAGCCAAGATGCCACTTCCCAACCATGTGAGCATCATAGCCAAGTTGTTTCAGTTTCTGTGGTATTGTTGTTAGATTGGCCGGCAGGAATTGCGCTGCGTTTACAGCAATAGTGCCATCTTGTAGTCCAGTGTGATAGGGGAAATATCCCGACATGAAGCAGTTTCTTGAGGGCGTGCATAAAGGCTGAACGTAAGAAGAGTTGAGGATGACTCCAGCTTTTGCCAGTCTGTCCAGGTTAGGGGTGATCATTTGAGGGTTCCGAAATCAAACATCGTTCCAGCCGAGGTCATCAGCGACAATAAATACAATGTGAGGCTTCTCTGCACACTCACAGAGAACTATAGTCAAAATAAGATATAAAGCCGATATGAAATTCATGTTGTTTCTGGTGTATGCGGTAAAACGTAGACGTATTTAAGGGTACTTTTAAAGATAAGATGACTCATGACTAACCCTAAGTTTGTCAGCTTGCCATCTTATCTTTTGGAATGCTTACATCGACACATTCCTGACTCTCCTAATAGTCCAGATTGTACATGTTCAGGCTTAAAAACAGGAAGCTAATTTTGTATTGCCATAATCGTAAAATGATGGGATGTGAGTCTTCAATACTTGACCATGCTGTTATACGTTTTAACGTATTACTTACTTAGAAACATGTCTGATCGTCAAAGACTTGTGACAACGTAACGTCAAGTTCGATCATTCGCCTATTGCTCGGTGCCAGACTGCTTCCTGCCATTTTTCACATGTCAATGCCTTGACGGTTCAAGGCGTGCGAAGGTTTCACGGTGGATACATACCATTGTGTCTGCCCTGCCGGTGGCGTCACTCATTCTCTTCTTTATGACACCACGAATGAATTTTCTGGACGTAATATCGAGTACAACCGATTTCTAAGAGAGTAATTTACAAGCTAGTATGAAACTCATGAAAACAATTACAGCTCTATGTTAAATATGTGGATAACTTCTTATCCAAAAGTGTCTACCCATTTTCAATGAATATGCATTTTGTTTTTACGGTAAATCCGTAAACCCGTTTCAAAAACTTTAAACATATGAATGATACGTTTTATCTCATTTATCATTTCGTTTCTAACCGATAAATGTTTGTCTGTTGTTCGTGCGCACTCAGAAATATTCCAGCTATATGACGGCGGTCTGTAAATAATCGAGTCTTGGCCAGACAATCCAGTGATTGACATCCTGAGCATCAATCCACGCAATTGGGATACGATGACATGCATCAACCAAGTCAGCGAGCCTAACGTTAGTCGCCTCTTAAATCAAACATGGGTGGCTGAAGACCTAGTCTATCCCCGATATTCACGGGTCTAACTGTTAAATGATTGTTAAAACAACCAAACACACGTATGCTGGTCATAGTCAGGCATGATAACTTATCTGTTTTGATGTACAGCTGCAGATTAAGCCCCAACAACCTTCTGAATTATGCTTTGTATTGATTTTTTTATCTACCATATGTTACCATATTAATTATAAGCGACGCCCTCAGTATTTTCTTGTTGATAAGTGTAAGTCAGAATCTTTCCTCTGAGGCCCGGAAGAAATAGAAAAGCAATTAAATATAAAACCAATGTTATCTATTAAATGATATTGCGTCAGATGATCTTCCTTCAAAGATTATCTCAAGCTTTATGTTTCGTGATAAATGATGTCATCATGTTAATGTTAATTTAATAAATCGTCCTTTGTTTCTTCCATTTGGTGGAAAGTTTGGACAACGACATATTAATGTTTTGTTGCCGAACGACAAAGTATCAGGTGGCTCTTCAAACTTCTACCAATGATATTTTAAATTTGTGTTAAACGATTTGAGCTTAAAAGAAACGAATTACATTGCAGCCACTCACACTGTCTTCGCTTCACTAGTGGTCCCATTAACTTTATTCTCTCTATCACTTCATTACTGCCACTACTTCTAGGAATATTGCACTGTGAAGATTCGGGTTAGATTTTGGACTTCACCAACCCATGTTTGTTGTAAGAGGCAACTAACGGGATCGGGTGGTCAGGCTTGGTTGATGCATGTTATCGTATCCCAAATGCGTAGACCAGTGCTCATGATGTCAATTACTGGACTGTTTTTTCCAGACTCGATTATTTACAGACCGCCGCCATATAGCTGGGATATTGCTGAGTGCGTCGTTTAACAACAAAGAGACAAATCTAGGAATATGGTCATAATAATAGGACACCTATTCCTATTACAACATATCGCCTCCATGGTCTAACTAAACTTGCTGGGCCAAAAACTACAACTTACGTTTAGTCTGTTAATTCTACAACTCATCTGGAACGAGATTAATCATGGTGACGTCACTTCCGGAAATAAATGCAGCTGAAGACGTCAAAAGTTGGAGCAAGAAGAATGCAATTAAACACCAAATATACACGTGACAGTAATTAGGATGGATGTAATGTACCCAATACCCAGGAAGGTGTTTACGTAGGTATTTTGGAATAAATATTTTTACTTCAGTAAAACATTAAACAATCTCGGAATGAACTACACACCTTTCGATCACGTAAGCGCCGGTAGATTGCGGGACTATTTGAGCCGATCACTGGAACTATAACTGTTACATGTTACGATGAAACATTTAATTGATCTTATACCTACAATATACGCAGTCTTTTACACACAAGACGTCTATATATAATAATAATAAATAATCATATCTTGAACAACTATGAAAACTTCAAAACGATTTCGGGAACGTGGGCGAAAACCAAAGGTCTCGATCGATGAAAAACAAAAAACAACAACCAAAAAACAACTTACCTGTCGGTCATGTGAAACAATTTCAATGATTGTGCGAATAATGTCCAGGTATGGTAAGTAGACCAATGTTAGGCTGTATCATGCCTTGTCCTTTGTATATTTCCCGTGAAATGTAATCCAGTGCATCTGTGTCTGTGTGGTGCTGGTGAAGATTGTAACACGTTAAGGTAAGCGACAAGATGATAAACACCTACACCAAAAGATAGCAGATCTGAATACTATCAGGAGAATGTTGATAACTTAATATCATTCTGGACCATTTATTTGAAGTTTATTTTTTCACGTGGATTTAATTTGTTTTTAAAAATACTGGACACAAATTGGTCACTGGATGTCCTGACAAAATGTGTTGTCTCTAAGTCCATGCTTGTCGGTCTCCTAGACCCTAGAGAATAAATTACCAAATGAACCCAACCTAGAAGGAATTGATAAGTCTAGCATTTCCCTGGGCTCCTTTTGGATTTTATTTTGTATTTTGTAGACTGCAAAGTATCCACAGAACATTCAATGTATTTATTTATATTCAATTATTGTAACCATTCTATATTCATTAAACATTTTTTTAAATGCTTAGTTTTCTTAAAGCCCAATCTGCGGTAGCAACTACCGCATTCTAGTGGGCGGAGCTTATACGAGTGATCTGACAGGTCAATATGACGTCATGATAACACACACATTTCATTGGTTAATGCGTAAACGTGTGACGTCATGTAAACACCGACCCATGTATACCGTTTTACAACAAGGACGTAAGTTTTAATGGTAATAAATATCTATCAAAAGATTCCAAGACTTTTCAACAAACGCGTAGGTCTTTGGTTTCAAAACATACCTGCATGTCGTCTTCACATCTTCATAAAATGATACCGTGGAATGTCCACGATTTATCCAACAATATATACGGCAATCGGTGATTTCAACAGTGTTTTTCTTCGTTGTGTTGGTCTTGGCTCATCTGAAATCTGGATGACAACGATCGTGTAAAAACCCTGGTAATGGTCAAATATATTTTTAAGTGATCAAAGTAGTTTTTTGTCTTTTCCGTGACATGTTTTCATTGCCCAGTAGCAATGTATTTTGGCAAAGTCACACTTGTCCGAAAGATCCTCATGCCGAATTAACTCGATCCGTGAAACTTGGCGAGTCCCAGTGACCCAGATTCCTTGTTGATTGGCATGCCAAGTGTCATTTGCATAAGGCCCTACATAATTTTTTGGTATGTGTTTCTGACCTCAAGCCTCAACTAACCAGAGAGCGGGCGGACGAAATAAAATAAACTGACGTCCAAAAGAAGTCTATCTAAAACACAACCTAAATACAACAATAGTGTATGCAGAAAATGTTAATCGTCTGTTACATGTTTGCGAGATAAAACGCGAAAAAGTGAAAAACACGTGCACGTGCGGGTAAGGGTATAAAACGATTGCAACGGCAAGTCAGACATCCACAGTGATAAAACAATACAATAAGAAATGCAACGACTCACAGTCGAACAACGTGAACGAGCCTTGAGTATGGTACAGATGGGAGCCACCCACTCCCATATTGCACGAACCTTCGGTTGCTCCCATGTTGCCGTTACCAACTTGATGCAACGTTACAGACAGACAGGGCGGACCGCTGACAGGCCAAGAACAGGCAGAACGCCCCATGATGACCGGTACCGGAGAAGCTTTTTGAAAACCGTATGTAAACAAGATCACCAAAGACCCTCAAACTTCGTATCAACTTGAGTGACAAACCCTGGATACCACAAATGGCTCCATATCTAGATATAAGTCAATTCATTTTCTGTAGTTTTATCATAAAAAATCGAATCGATCGTGTTTGGCGTCTGCATCAATCACAGTAGGCGACGCTTATTTACGGTTGAGCTTATATAAATAGCAAAGCACATGGTCATGTGTACATGTGACACATTCAATGACTTTGTGGTCAAAGTGTATTGTGTTGTATATTTTTACGGCAGAACAGCAGCAGAACATCGATCAGTTTCGGTTAATGTAACAGTAACCATACATACATACACGATTCTTTCAGTTAAATCCGAAAATTACAGATATTTCTTTAATTTTTGGTCATTTGCATTCAACAGTTGAATCTGTGCCACACAATAATCAGATTATAAACTGACGTCCAAAAGAAACTTTACCAACTGAAAATATAAATTTCAGATAAAGTATAAATTTGTTTTCGATGAAGTCTATCTAAAACACATCACCTAAATACAACAATAGTGTATGCAGAAAATGTTAATCGACTGTTACATGTTTGCGAGATAACACGCGAAAAAGTGAAAAACGCGTGCACCACGGACAACTGCAAATGCACGTTCGGGTAAGGGTATAAAACGATTGCAACGTCAAGTCAGACATCCACAGTGATAAAAAAATACAAAAGAAATGCTACGACTCACAGTCGAACAACGTGAACGAGCCTTGGGTATGGTACAGATGGGACGCCCATATTGCACGAACCTTCGGTTGCTCCCGTGTTGCCGTTACCATCTTGATGCAACGTTACAG